AAATGTTTTTCTTTTTGTTTTAAAAAGATACCCCAATAAGTTGTATGTGTGGGGGGGGGGGGGGGGGGGGGGGTTGATTTTAGATTTTATTCCCTGCAAGAATTACTGAAGAAGCATGTTTTGATAGTAGAGGGTGTCTCGGAGCGTTTCGATTGGTTGTGGAAAGTATTCCACCAATGCCAGGCATTCTAGCTGTAAGCTTGGCTCGATACTATCAATAGTCGTTACAATACCATTTCCGCAAAATGATAGAATGTAATTTTTCAAGAAAATGTTTTAGAAGATTCTAATCTCCGTGTGCAACAACGTCAACCTGAAATGGGCGAGTAAAACATTCATGCAATCCTTTATAAAGCTCAATCGTTTCTGATCTTATTCGGTCGGTTGTAAGTTCGAATTCAAAAGCGGTTAGCTCCGCGGCAGTGCAAAGCTACAGATAACATCGTGCCAAACACGAAAAAACCCTTCATAAAACAGCCGCGACAGTTTTAACATATTGATTGGTTAGTAGTGATCGTGCTGGCGCGCAGGCGGCAGGATGTGTGCTGATTGGTCAGGCTCTAATATGCCGCATGGGACGGGTAGTGCTGCTGCTTAGACTTGATTGGCCCATTTTTTCGTGGGTCACTTTCCATGCAAACTTGTATCGTATGGCAGTTTTCTTTTTCTCGAGCTACGTCGTACTCTGATCTGATCCGTGAAAGCCACAGAAAGAAAAATATTCGAACTATCACAACCGGCCGAATGCGTTGAGAGAAGATTAGCTCAGTAATATTGAATGGTAAATAAATGATTCTTTTGAAGCTGTAGCACCGCAATTCCGCGCCCAGCAAGTACCCCTCCAGCAGGCGCCCTACCAACCGATAGCAGTCCAACAGGCTGCACCAGCTCAGTACCCATCTCAGTACTACCCCTACTACCCGAATGTGAGTGATTTTCCTGTTTATGTGATAACAACTCGGAGTTCATGATAGTACATATTACTACACGGGCAGTTATTAATTAATTTCAGAATCCCGGCCTGAATACGATATTTGAGCAAATGCAATGCTTCAGCGGTGATATGGAGGTAAAAATTTCATGTTTAATTTTTAAACACATGGAATTATAAGGAAATGAAAAACCTAAAATTAAGGTTGAGACCCCATACGGCATGAAAGCAATCAAGGACTTGAAAGTCGGCGATATGGTACTGAGTATCGACGAGTTTATGGTTAGCGTCCATCTCCATATATCTGCATTTGACTGTCAAATTCAGGTTTTTGACCATTTCAGATAACCTTTTCGCCTGTGATAATGTTTCTTCATAAACTCGAGGAGGAACATGCTGAATTCCTGCACATACACACGGTAAGTGCATGTACGATGGAACTGGCGATTTTTCTAAATGTGCACCCTTAACTTTGCAAGTTATCTGCAAGTAATTTGCTTTCACAAGTTCGTAAAAGCCGCTGTGATTGGTGGTCTGCCACGTTGACCAGTCAGAGCGGCGCATGGCACATATTTATGTGTCAAACTTACCAACAGATAGGTGAAACACCAAACCACTGGATAATCAGCTGAAAGTGAATTCATCATGGCCTTTTCATTTGAGTGGAGAGAAAAAATTCAGTAGAAACAAACTTCCTAACATCCAGTAGAAACAGAGAACATAGCACCCGCGCAGGAAGGATGCAGGAGAATATTGGTGTAAACAGTTCCAATGTAGCTCTGATGTAGTGGATGCGACTTTAATAATGCGCACGAATCGTAAGTTCGTAAGGGTTTCGGTGGACCCATGCTTTCAATTGAACCATGTACTATTTCACCACTGAGGGTCGCGATGTTCACCAGTGTTTTGTTGAGGCTATGTTTGAGTATTCCAGAGTAAGGCTGGTAGAAGAAAAAATCATGGGGTCTTACAAGAGAAAATAAACAAAATTTCACAATAACACATGTTACTGATTTTAGGAACAGGGCGATTCCCTGAAGCTCACTGAGAACCATCTACTGTACATAACTAATTGTGGCAGTAGTGATCCACTTCACTTGACGGCTGCTAAGGAAGCCCGACCAGGGCAGTGTCTTCAGATTACAACTGAAAACTTCGATCTCATCTCAAGACGTATCACATCGATATCCAAGGTATTGATCATACAGATCTCATCCATCACCTATTTGGGGATCAACAAAATGTAGCTCATTTGTACAGAGGTTGATGAGGCACTATCATCGGAATTGGAACCTAAGTTTTAGTTAATTTGTATTTTTTCAGGTCATAGAGACTGGTATTTACGCTCCACTTACCAGTACTGGTGATATTGTAGTAAACCGCTACCTCGTTTCGTGCCATTCAAATCTCGCCCTCAAAACGCTTCAGCAGACGTTCTTCAGTGTTTACCGTAGTCTTTCAAATGTACTACGTGATTTACTTCCAAAATATGTTCAAGATGATGCCCATCTTCCTGCCGGCGTTCACTACTTGACTACTGTAGCGGACCTGTTCCTTCCAAATTCTTTCTTATGATCTGCCAATTAAGCACGCTGTGCCCACGGTAATTTTTAATATTAATATTATATTGATTGTTTGTTTTGAAAGAAGTTTGTTTTGTATGTTGATCTGATTATTAGCAATATTTCATGAACTTTCAGGCATTGGGTGTAACATTCGAAGTGTAAATAAAGAATGTTTATATTCTCTCATCCACTGAATGTTGCTTCATATCAGAAATGCTATGATCCAGAAAAGTTGAAAAACGATACAATGAAGGTCATCATTTCCTTATACTTCTCAGCTTCACCTTACCACTACCTGATCAAAAACGTTCATCACAACTAAAGTAGTATGCATTTATTCAATGCTCCACCAGTATCGAGCTATGGATAAACGAATGATGGTACTGGGGGTGTGGTGCAGTAGGAACGAAATTTTCGCGTCACGGCCAGAGAGACGTCGCCCGCGAAGGAATGTAGCAGAATGCAGCTGCAAATAAGGAGTATAGGAACAAGAGAACTAAAAGTAGAATCATGCCGTAAATAATAATCGCATAGCGATTGAGCTGTATGAAGAACGCTAGAACAGTTATAATCAGGCAAATGGTCCGCGACAGCCGCATGCGGCGGATCGATTACATAAAACCGTTCCTACTGCCTGTTTCTCATGATTCTGGTTGTTCTTGGTAAGTTGAGCAAATTTCAAGGATCACGATGAACTCTCTCGAGTAGACTCTTTATGAACCGCTAAATTTTTTTGAGACTACCAATTTTACAGAGAAACTCACTAGTATAAAAAAATACTAAATGAATCCCATTCAAAATATGAGCTAGAAGTAGCAGCATTCGTTGGTTCAGTGATTTTTGAAGGGATTTTCTGTTGTACACGATATACAGTACGTAATACCCAACTCGCTCTCCATTAAAAAGAAACCTTATGAACAACAGTCAAAATAATAATGCAATTTTTACAATGCAACCCATTTTGAGTGGAAGTCCTCTCAGATCAAGCTATGCAATTGCCAGGTCACCTTGTAATCTCCACTCCTTTTGCGATCGTAATTACACGGAAGCGTTTCCCGTAGCGTACTCATTTAGCCAAATGTTCTCAATAGCTATTAGTTTCAAATTGGTTCATAGCAAGTTACTGCAAATGGAACCGTCGGTCACATTTCCTATAGTTCCGTTTCCTTTCCTATTTTTTTCCATCGTTTTTGTCGAGAATGTCGAGGATGGCTTAAGTATCGTTATTACCTGCAATAAAAACCTAAACAACTTGCAAAAATGATCAAAGACATAACGATAGGTCTTCTTCGAAACCATCTCTTTGTAGTTTTCGACTACAAAAAGGGATTTGAGCGAGATTTAAGTAGTATTCAAGCGGTGGTAAAGCAAAGTGTGGTAGCTATCAGCGTGTATCAATTAATTACATTTACAGCAAATCCAAATTGAATGATAACAGTCTCTTAACACGTCTGTTCATGGAAGTCACGAGGTCAGTGATCATTTGGACGAGATCATGTGCCTTTTTAGAGGAATTAGGATGATTGGAGGTAGAGGATTTTGTTCCTACGGTACGGCTTGACCTAATATTCGTGTAGGTTGGTCTATTGGAAGGTCTACTGGCCCGGCTGTGGTGCAGTAGGAACGGAATCGCCGCGTCGCGGCGAGAGGGACGCCGCGTGCGAAAGAATATGGCAGATTGCAGCAGCGAAGTGCAGGAACAAAGGAACTGTCAGTAGGATCATTATAGAAACCGTTCCTACTGCCCGTCTCCCTACTGGCCCACACTGGCTCTAGGGGGACAAATGGAGACCTCGTTGATGACAATATTCCCCAAGCCACTTGCTCTGTAGTAGTTGCTTTCAGATTGCCAATAAAGAAAAGACGTAGAGCTCCCCTAACCAGACTCTACATATTTGTCCTTCCCTCACTTTCGGAGTAACATCCCCAAGAGGAATACATCCTATTAGGTCCCTGATCAGTAAAGAGCATCGAACGTCAATGTCTTTTATCCGATTCGGTAAAAAATTTCAGATCAACGGGTAAACATAGCCTTTTTCACTGCAGAGTGCGCTATTTTTATTTTGTCTTACTTTTTTACCGACTACTGTCTTCTTCCTAACTGCTTTTTGTCTAGTCTAGACCTACAAAAACTTTATAAAAGCATTTTTAATGAGGTTTTTGTGGGCCCTCTGCTGTGAGAGGAATTGATGGGAAAGACGGCAATCCTTCAACACCAAAATCTTAACAAGATTGGCTGTACCGCCTGGGAAGCCACTTTTCTTCATGAAACAAAGGAACTGAATTAGAAGCATATTTAAACAGTACATTACGTAAAGTGCGAACCAACTTGTGGTTTTACAGGGTGGCCCCGTTTCTCAACCGTTTTCTCTAGGAATCCTGTTTCAAAATAATAAAGCCTAAGAGATTCAANGCTCAACTCGAATAGAGGCTCACAGAAAGTTTACTCTGCACTTTTGCCTGCTGATATCCTTTAGAAAATACAAATAAAATTCCTTTTAATGATACTGGAAACCCTTGTGACAGATCAGTATCGGCTATGGACATCGTCTTTATGCAGATTCATCCTTATTTTTTACCATAATTTACCTTTGTCTGTTATCTTTCTTTCTTGGGCGGTTACGATATTTTGATTGTCATCAGAAAGCTAATTCATTCAGCCTCATTTATTTTTCATTTTCAATTCCCAATTCGTCATAGAAGGATGATGGCTTGAGGCTCCGATTATAGTAAGTAGATGCGTAGGATGACGTTTGCCCTTAGTCTGCTGTTCTCAGGCTCTAGGGCACCGTGACGTAGGATTTCCTTTTACCGATTTACAAAGAAGATTCTCGTGTCATAAATGTACGACCTCCATGCTGTTCTTATAGTTGATGATTTATGTCAAGATGCTCTTCCGGAAATTGGAAATGTTGGAAAATGAATGAGGAGAAGCCAATGGAACAGGGCATCTTCAAGCCGTACGACCCGCCACCCAAATTCCTTCTCGAATGAACCAAAGTCTCATCCTTTTTAAATTGCACAAATATGAATAATTTTCGAGGATTCTATAGAGGTAAATACAGTTTTATACTTGTTCGAATCGATTTTACCTACCTATTTGAGCGCTTCTGAGGTGTAAGCCTGTACATCATGCTCAGTAAGGTGATACCATAGGGGAGGTACGGGTAGGAATGGAGCAGTACTGAAATTGTACTGCCCAAATCAGCCACGACACTGAAAGAGAGAGGTTGACCAAGTTCTGGCTTATCCACTCTCAACAGCTCATTGCCATGTAGCAAGTTTAGTAATCCTGAGGCTACACTGACTTACTTGGCACAGTGTTATCGAACTAGTTGTATTCAAAGTGTGGTTTGTTGGTTGGTATTTATCTGGCTAGTAGAAAAAGCAATGATATAACTTTTGTAAGCCACTCCAGTCCCAATGAAACTTCCTGAAGAAAAATCGTTCTGTCGCTAATCGTTTGCAAGAGTCGCACAACTAGAAGGGGTTCACCAAAGCCCAGAGAATTTTCGAAAGCGGTCGAGTGCATCTCTAATGTGGCTCACAGCAAATCACCCTGACACAAATTCTTTTCAACTCTACTATCCCAGCTTCTTGAACGACCTTGAACATGTAATTTTATTATGAGGTAGAAAACTCTTTGATCCTTTTTTTTTGTCCTCTCAAGACTCCTTTCGAAATCTCTCAGCAATGAGCTGTCGATATATTGATTTTCAAGGAAGTTCTAGTCCGATGTAATTAGAACCGAAAACTGATTACGTACGACTTTTGGTTTATTCTCGGAAAATCTCTCGTCATTGTTTTGTTGGAGTTTCCTCGCATGATGCTCAAGACGTCTCATGCATGGTGATTCAATGAAGACATTATCCTTGCCGTGCATATTCAGCTATTGGGATTACTTTTTTCCATGAAGTAGCTTTTGAAAGTTAGCCAGAAACACTGTTAGTACTTACGCTAGGATGTCATTTCATGCATCGTTTGGAGCTCTTTTCTGATTTCGATTGTTTTTGTAAGACCGTTTTGTGCATTACTATCCGGCTCTTGCAGGGTATATAATTGCTTAACAAATCAACTTTGATGCCAGCTATCCACACTACTACGCTCTTAAACTGATCTTCAAACTTCAACTAGTTCGTTCGGTTGAGTAGCTGTAATTTTTCTTTTTGGGCTGTCCCGAGTAGAACTGGTGAGAGCAGAGGGCGAATTTCTGCTGACTTAGATCGAAGCTTTTCTGTTCTTGAAGCTTTGAAAGTTAGACGCAATAATCCTAAATTTAAAAGAGCCTTATTATTCCCAGATTGGGGACTTGCCAAACAAAATCCCATCAGGGATCAGTATCAAAAGCTTCATTGCACTTTTACCCTGCAAAAAATCGTTTTTTTTATGCCACTTCTCAATATGTATTGGTATTTGGGCGTAGTTCAGCTTGAGAAAAGTTGTCCGATTGCTCGCTCCAAACGTGGCCCATCCAAAGCTCTTTGTTACTACAATCAGTGTCAATAGCCGGGTGTGGTGCAGTAGGAAGGAAGCTGTCGCGTCGCGGCGAGAGAGACGTCGCGCGCGAAAGAATGTACCAGAATGCAGCAGCAAGTAGGAAATACAGGAACAAAAGAACCAACAGTAGAACCATGCCAAAAGTAATATCGAATAGCGATTGAGCTGTATGAAGAATGCTAGAAGTGTTATAATGAGGGAAATAGTCCGCGACAGCCGCGTGCGGCGGATCGATTACACAAGACCGTTCCTACTGCCCGCCCCAATAGCCCAGCTGAAGTACGAACAGCTTGCGACTCAACTCTAAAAATTGCCTCGCCCTTGATGTTGCCTCGAACCTTCCAAATCCACGTAGTAGATAGACTGCCTCAATTTCGGGCTCAGAGAAGAAAAATTATTGCTATCGGAAATCATGAAACTGGTAAAATAGCTGGAGGAAGCCTGTATAAGAGGTTAGCATGCAGTTTGTGGGGGCTCTGCAAGCGGCCTTTCATGCTCATTGTGAATAGAACT